GAACCTATTTTTGGGACTTGCATTTACTGCATTCTGTTAATTGGACAAGAAAGAAAGGAAATAAGGATAGAAATTAATCAATGCAACTAACGAAGACAAATGCCATAACATGTATAAGTCTTCCAATTTCAACAAGCCGGCCAAAATTGGCAATATCATATATCACCTCAAACAATTGCCTAGCAGCACGATTGTTTTCCTGTTGCATCTCCAATTGTGCCCAAGCCTAAATCAGAAAGAATTAAAACATTTAGATAGGTTTGCAAGAACCGCACATTTAGAATCCATTACGAACTTACAGGACAATCAAGACTTACAAGCCAACTAGCACAGCTTTTAGGGTTGCACTTAGTGGCCTGCTTAAATAAATACCGAGCCTGCTGATACCGGTTGGCCCTAGCTTCTAGCAATGCAAGCGTTTGGTATATGTACTCATTTGGTCCACAATGTTTAAGACCTTTGGCTAGTAGATTCCTTGCCTTCTTTATGTTTCCCTGTTTCAGCTCTAGAACAGCCCATCCATGCCAAGCCGCAACATGCCTCTTATCAGCAACTGTGGCAGCATCAAATAACTCCCTAGCTCTCCTGGTATTACCCATTTTCTTTTCAAGAACAGCCCAGCACTGTTTTAAGAATTTTTCCAGTGTTAACTTCAGTATAAGTAAAATAAATTCAATATATCATAGTACCAGGAGCAGTCACTCCTTATGCCAACTGATGAACTACTCCAACTGTGAGGTTCAATTAAGTTTCATCGTGAAAGATATTGGTATGCCAGTAATTAATCATAGGCATATATATATGCCTTAGAAAAAGCAAGATTCTAGGTAAAATGTATGGCTGCTGGATGCAAGTAATTATTGCACGAGGATAATCTAGACTCAGCCATGGCCATAACCATGAATCTTTGGCTAGTAACTCATTGATATTCTTGAAGATGAGGGCATATGAACTTTCATTATCAGCCTTGATGGAGAGAAAAATCACTGAGAAAGAAATGTATCTTAATTTCCACGTCCGTTTAGACGTCGTGAACTACTGCGTAGGAACAGCAAAAACTGCAACGTATGCACATAATTCTGAAATCCCACCTTTCTTTTTTCTTTTTCTTCTATTTATTTTTCACGTTCAAAACTCTTTACACGGGCATAATAAGGGCAGTATCAAGTCAAATTCCAAAAAGATACATAGGCATTTCTCAGGGCATAAGCTTCAAGAAGTCCCAAATTTACAGAAGAAAATGTGACCCAATATTAGAGGTGTTCGTGAGTTACGATCCCTGGAGGTTGGGGGTATGTACTTGGTCCAACGTCATGGGCGTAGGCCCATGCCTAACATCTGGAAAAGAAAAATTTACCTTATGGCTCCAGCTAGTAGGCTGGGCCTAGCCAGGCCCAACAAAATAATTCACTAATTTCTTCGCTCTCTAAATTTCATATTATACATTTTTCTTTATATTTTATTCCATTACGTCTCACATTTTATTCTTCAGTTTATAAACTGGATAAGGTTAATAACTAAAAAGAAAATGAAAAATGTGGCCATTCTGGCAAAGTGCACTTACTTTCGAAATGAATTTTTTTCAAGGAAAAAGGTAACTGAAGTTACTGTTCAAACATTATTTTACAGATCATTGTCAAATTTACTCGAGGAAATTTTTCCCTAGGGGGAAAAAAAATTTTCAGTAGACTCATATTTATATGCAAATAAACAAGGGCCATGCACTACCATTACGAATTGAAAGCACTACTTGCCCTTTCATGATAAATGTAACTTGATAAGTTTAGATGAATGTAAATTTGAGCTTAGGTCGAAGCTGAATCACTCCTAAAACTATTTGGTCCAAACCCACAAACAAGTATACCCATGATCACATTGCAAAAACAAAATTTAAGGCTACCTGCCAAATGTAGGCATTTTCCCCTTGAGTAGCCTGGCAACCCTTCTCGTATATTTCTCTGGCCTGAGTTGTTTTCGATTGCTTGCTCAAAATTTTCCCCAGCGCCACATACGGTCGACCATCTTCTGGCCAATATTCTATGCACTTTTTAAAGATTCAAACGAAACCAAAAATGAGAAATAATCCACCAAATTGGCAAATCACTAGCGAGGAGCCGAGGGCAAAACTTAGATACAACTTAACACCATTCAACTCACACAATCTAAGCAAAAACTTTGTTTTAATCCCTTTTACGGACAGATTCACCAAAAAAAGGGGCCGTACCTTCTGAAGCACTGCTTCTGCTTCTTCATATCGAAAATTCCTCGCTAAAACCTTCGCACGGTATAATGCTAAATCCAAATTCACAACAAGTAGCTTCTCTTTAGAGTCCGATTCGACCCTCACCGGCTCAAACATCGGCATCTTCTTCGCAAATTCCTTAAGCCCCGCATCGATCGCCGAAGCCTTTCCTTCGGATTCCTCCACCTGCCGCCCCTCTTCATCGTCGGAAAACTCCTTCACCGGCCGGCGAACTACCAGCACACTATCCTCCGTTGTGACAGTATTGGGTGAATTCGCTTGGCTGGATACAACGCCGTCCAACGGTTGAGTAGAAATGGACTTCTTCGCGAGCACTGTGGCGGATGATGAGTCCCTGAGGGAACATTGTGGATTCACAGCGATATGGTGGGAAGGTGAGGAGTGGAGGGGTAAAATGAGTAATTTGAATCTGAGCTTAAAGAGATGGTTAGGGTTCTGAGACTGAGTAAAGATCGTGAAGTTGGAAGAACAAGAAGTGGAAGAAGAAGAAGATGAAGAAGAAGAGAGAAGGAAGGAGTTCATTTCTGATTTAACTGATTAAACTGTTTTTGATTTTACATACACAGAAAATGTGAGGCGGAATGCGGAGGAAGAAGAGACCTTGTACAATTACTTGTATAGCCCTCTGTTTTCCCGCTGCTCATTATTTTTATTCAATTATTTTAGGTCCATTATAATTTCATTCTAATTTTAATAATAGGCTTAATCCAAAAAGAAAATATGAGTAAAGTGATAATAGAATATTTGACACTTGTTTGATTATTATGCAATTTTTTTGATATATTTTAATTTGATTATTATGTAATTAACATAAGGGGAAAACTTAATGCTAATTATGACAGGCAGTCTAGACATATCAGTGATCACTAATGCGGGAAGGGTAGTTGAGTAATTACGCATAAGATGAGTCACTGGTCAAAAATGAACCACGTGGTCACATGACTTATGTGGCTGAGGCTTCATCCATAAAGCAGATTTTTCTGACACGTGGACACTGATCATTGGAAATTAGCTTCAGATTCATGATATGGTAACAAGTAACTTTATCGCAAGCGGATCCTGTACATAACTATATATTCATGGCTGGTGCTAAAAAAAAAAAAAAAGAGTAAAAACCTCCGTGGAGGAAATGGAATCCATTTTGGAACCAATAAAAATGGGTCAAAAACTAGTAATCCACAAAGTCACTCAAATTCTACTATTGATATCAGAATCTTATTGATAGATAGTTTGTAAATATTTTTATAAGTGTTTTTTGAATATGAAAATATGTCCTGAGTTTCTAATTCTGATAAATCTTTGGAACCCAATTCACCTGAAATTTTTTAAAAAATTCTTTTTATAAAATACTACCGAAAAACTAGTCATTTCAATCTTAAATATAGGAATGTTTTTCAACCCTTTCATTTGGTTATAATATTTATAAGACTCTTTACAAGTCAAAGGCAAAAAATTTATGAAGTATGACGCAATATTTATTAGTCATTATACAATATAATCCTATTCAATTAATGTGTTAATAGGTGATGAAATATAGTCTACTAATCATATCATTTTTCAAATAAAGTAAATGAGGATAGTTTCAGAAAAATTACTCAAAAAGGAAAATTCGTAACATTGAATATGATAGTCTGCATTTTTAATTATGCGTAATTCTTTGGGCATTATGCGTGGATATCTTCTCCCAACTTGAGTGATTAGAAATCCCCATAAATTTCTACATTTATCCCAATAATTTCCTCATAGTTCATTTTTGTCAATTGTGTTTTATACAAATTGGTCTTCTACACATAAACTAAATTTAAGAAATTATTTGCGTATAATTCAAAATTTAAATGTATTATATATATACAATAAAGTTTGAAGGGTATATGGCCAATAATACATCACATTTTATCAGCTAAGATAGTCAGTAAATTGTTGGCATGGAAGTTACCTGTATATGAATTTAGAAGCCTAGACTTTGGAGTTTTTTTTTTTTTCAAAGAGTTTTTTGCCAAAAAATTTTTAAAAAAGAGATTTAAATGTGAGAGAATTTATTTGCATATATCTCAAAGTTCAGGGGCCTTTTGTGTAATTACCACATTCTCTTCACTTGAGCAGAGAAGTTGGGCTGGGCTCAAAGGTCCATTTCAAAATGGCTGCCCATGTTGCATCGAATCAATCGCGTCGCAACCAACAAGTGGTGGTCCAAATAGAAGAGACCTGGGTCTCTTAAACATTATATCTTGGATTTGATTTTTAGGACAATGTGTATATAAAAAATACTGTTAGAAAGGATTCCCGCTACAGCGTTTAAGAAATTAGTCTCTTATCGGGTGAGGGATTCTCTAGGCAACTCAAAAAAAATAAAATAATCCCCTCGCAAGATGGTGTTTTATTAACCGCTAAATTCTGTTTATCCGTTAACTCAATGCGAAGCTTTCAGACACCAGCAACTTCAGCTTCTTTGACGCCGTGATGGCTCTGAGAATCTCCTGCAATACGAAATTTCGACTTCGCCTCAAGGTAATTCTTCGTCTACCTTCTTCTTTCACTCTCTTTCTCTCCTTAATATCATTGTTTATTATTTTATAGCAACAAAAGTGGATTTGAGAAGCAAGAAATGTATTCAAAATGTTCAGAGCATTGTGAAAAATGTTGGGCTTCCTTCTATATCATCTTCTCCGCTTGAAGCTCTCAAGAGAGGCAACTGGGTGAAGCTTATTTGTGGAGCGAGCTTTGGGTGAAGCTCTTACTCTTTAGTCTCTATTTGTTAAAACCTAACTTGCCTTTCAGGATTTTGTTGATATCAGGAATCTCAGCCTGGTTTACACTCTTGCTGGAGGTAAGAAATGTGTAGCTTCTTTTGAGTGAAGAAATAGAACATATTGATTTTTCATCCGCTTCTTTGTGGAAGTAGCGACTGGTAGTTGTTAATCTTCATTTGTAAAACATGTAGAGGGCATATGGTACTCTATCATATGGTACATTTTTCGCCCCCCTCATAACTAAATTTTGGCATTTTGGATTTTTTTAATTTCATATTTCATACTATATGTTATTTATGATAGGATTTTAAATATTAAAAGTATTAGTATATCTATTAAATAACTAGTATGTTTTACTTTTCACCATTACTCATTTGTGGACCTCGGTAAGTAATATTAATTTAATTTATTTGAGGGTGGCAAAAAAAAAAATTGTTTGAATTATATGGTTGCAGTTGACTGCATTGACTTTAGAGCCTGTTTGGTTGGGTTTATTTGGAGTGAAAAGTAGCTTATTTTTGCTACAAGTCCGATTGCAAGGTAGTCACCCGTTTGGTTGGGCTTAGCTTCAAAAGGAGCTTATATGTTTTAAGTTGTTAAGCCAACGTTGGGGGAGAAGCTGCATTTTGTAGCTTATTTTGGAGCTTATTATGCTTTTTCACTGTTGCACGTGTCAAAGCCTTTTTTCCCCTCTGACTTCAGCTATATTAACACATTTCCTGAGTTTTTTTTTTTTTCACATTTGACTCTCACACCTCTCCCACATCCTTCGTCATTTTTTTCACTTTTATATTTTTAAATGTTTCACTTTATATTTAGATTACTCCTCGGATCCTAAATATAAAACTTTTTTTATAATGTAAATCCTATCTTAAATATAAGACCTTTTTTGTAGTGTAATTACACTATAAAAAAGTTTTATATTTAGGACCAGAGGAATATTTTATATAATTTCTCTAAAGTTTTAAAATTTAATTCACTCATTAAATTTAACTTCTTCATATTAAATTATTTTAATTTTATTGTATTATGTGAAATTATTTTTTAATCATATTTCATTAATTATTAAAACTCATACCCATTTTGGTCATTTTACAACCAAATTTACTTTTACTCAACCATAATCCAAACAATCTTTTACTAATCTCACTTTTGCAAACTAGCTTTTCTGAACTCCAATCCAAACACAATTCAGCTTATCCAATTTAGCTTTTACCCAACTTCACTTCTCCATAAGCTACTTTTTCAATAAGCTACTTTTCCAATCGCTAATCCAAACGGACCCTGTGCTGCTGATGCAACGGTGGTCAATGCAGTGAATGAAGGACTTGAGACTGCAAGAGACATTGTAAACCTTCGAAGGCCATGGCTGATGATTAGTGTCAATGATGATAAAGATCTTCACTTTCGTAAGCCTGGTAAGGAAATTCATTAGCAAGAACAGTATTTAAGTGCTTCAGAGCAAGTCAGACATCTTTGAAACATTAATGCGACATTCAAATGTTCCAACTTTTTCCATGATGAGTCCTAATGAATGTCTTAAATGAAGCATGTAATCCCCCATATGATCATTACATTATAGTTTCACCTCTAATTCCGGGTCATAAGTTCAACCTCAATCTTATAAAAACAATCTACATGCACATAACACATCATTCTTCTCTATTCTCATATTACTATGGATTTAATGAAATTTAGCGTCTGAATCAGGAAATCGATGATAAATATTGAACAACAAATATGTGAAACTTCTCAAATAGAATCTTGTACTTTATTTGAAATATAATTTGATTCAAATAAAACTTTGAATAAGATCTGTAGTGTGCAAATTTCAGATCTGTGATAAAAGTTGGAAAATTCCTGAGCTGAATTTGTCTACTTGCAAAGTATGAGGAGGAAGGTTATTCTTCATTCCAACATCGATCTTCTGGCAGATTGATTTCTGAAATGTAAACTCGGATTTCTCATTTCCATGCATAACCATGACATTAGAACTGACAGCACAGATTATATCAAGTTATGCAATTGTTTAATAGAGCACGATCATCTTTGATGACCTCTATATTTAAAATATTTCCTCAAATGAAGAATGAGCCACAAAACTTAAGTAAAACTATTAATGCACAGCTATGTATCATTTGCTAGCAATGTATAAAGGATCTCTGCAATGTCTTCTCTACAGAATTTGATCAAGAAGACTGTCCAACAGACTGTTCAAGGCCCTGTGAAAATGTGTGCCCTGCTAATGCAATATCATTGCAGGAGAATACAGGACTAGGAAGTCCTTATGAAATCCAAATACCAAGAGTATGAATTCTTTTTTTTATTGTTTTTTTTTAATATACATGATTTAATTCAATTACTGGCAAGTGTGCATTTCTCTTTCTATATCTATCTGTTTTTTTTTTTCCCAAAAAAAAAAAATCACACGAGTTCTTTTTTTTTGGTCCAAAAGTTCTAAAATGCTCTATTGTAAAAAACATGCAGGATGGAGTTATAACTGAACGCTGCTATGGCTGTGGTCGCTGTTTCCCAGTTTGCCCCTATGATAAAATAAGTGGGATTTCTCTGTCAATTTACGATTTTGACCTCATACATTAATTATTTATTTCTGGTGTGTTGACCGATAATTGCCATCATTTTTGCTCATATGTTCATTTTCCATTTGTCATATTGATGCAGGAGAGGTAACATATGTAAGAGATGCTATTACAACTGCTGATCTCATGAAAAGAGATGATGTGGATGCTATAGAAATACATACAAGTGGGAGGTAAGTCGATAACATTAAACTTTTAAGGAAACTGTTTTCAATCAGGAGGAGGGTAATAATTTTTCATGATGGCTTTGTTGAAACTTTTGCTTCCTCGTTAATACGAGCACCATCTCAATTTGCTTATACATAGAATGTGATCATTTGCTTAATACCATCCTTTCTTACTCTCTTTATTTTTGTTAAGTTGGAGGGATGGCTTAGTTAGAGATAATAGTAAAAATATTATATGCCTTTACTCAATAGTTTAAACTTTTGAGTTGATATGGTTTTTGGAATAGTGGTTCAGTCATTTTTGGCCCCATCCCCTTGATTAATGTTAAGACTTGGCATAAGGTAGGATAGAATGGTAGGCCAGTGCTTTATCCAAACATAAAAGTCCACTGCGCTCTATTGTAATCTCTTAGGTATCACAATCAAATCATTAAGGTCTCCACTTAAAAACAAAAACGTTTGAGTTAAAATGGTTCTTCATGAGAACAATACAGTATAATATCTCCATAGAAGAAACTGCAAATTTCAAGATTTCATTGTGATGACGTTTTAGAATGCAAGCTAAATTTATGACCTTTCTACAGGCAGACTACACCCTTCAGGGAACTATGGACTGCTCTGGGAGATTCAGTAAAATATATGAAACTAATAGCAGTAAGTATAATCTCCAACCTCTTCTACTATTTAAAGGCTGTAAGCAATGCTTTATTATAATCTCTTAGCCTCCGGGTTTCTGGGTTAGCTTACCAAATGGGGGGAACTCAACAATATCCTCCATGAATGAAATGTTTTCTACCATGAAACCTAATCTTCAATGCTTCAACTTATGTCAGGTATTTCCGTACTTAATTGTGGCCAAAACACAAACAATATGAACAACTTCAAACTGTCATAAGCCAAAGTTTACTTCAATTTCTCTTTTCCTTTTAAACCCAAGTTGGATGGCCGTCCCATGAGTGGCGATATTGGGAGAGAAGCAACTAAGGAGACTGTTGCCTTTGCTGTTCAAATGGCTGATGCAAGAGATGTTGGCGGCAGCAAATGAGGAACAGCAAATTCGGTTCGAGTCGCGTCACAAGGACACTGTCCTTGAGAGATATTCCGCAGCCCCTCGGTGTAACAGGCAGCGGCACTCCCCAGGATCAAACGAACCCTTCCTGCGAAGCAAGGTAGCAGAACAGCGAAAGCGATTGTAACAGGAAACACAGCGGGAGAGAAGAGGAAGAGGATGGAACAGTGTATCATCACGCTGCCTGGACAGTCCCTTATATAGGCGCGAATGGCCACATCACCGGAGGACGCATCCCTCTGTTTCGCCGAGCGGGTACGACCGAAGCAACGTAAGGTTCCGTTGGAGACGGAACAGCGCGAACGTTGGTGCACACAACGTTCGCCTACACCCCGCGAGACGCGTCCGGTCGGCCACAAAACGAAACAGTAAGCCTCTTGACTTTTAACAGGTCCAAAATAAGGCTTTTCTGGTAAGCATAATTTTATTAAAAATATTCAACAAAGTTTAAAATAATTTTCGTAAAATGAGGCTTTACCGCGTTTAATTCACGCGCAGGGGGGAAATCGCCGGTTTACAACTGCGTTTCCCTCCTGGTGGCCTGTTGTTGTGTGCGTGAGGCCCACTTCCCTCTTGGCCCATTTACCCCCCCAAGGATGCTTGATCTCATTTATACACTTAGACTTCTTCTCATCTTTCCCATGTGGGACTTTATTTGACACACATATTGCATTATTTCACAACAATCCCCCACATGTGTCAAATAAAGAGCCAGAGTTACACACATGGGTATAATCATTGTATCTAGTGGTTCTTGCGACTATGAACTAGACCTAGACTGATAACACTTAGTACACAGAGATGCCAGTGAAGCCTGCTTCTATGAACTGTCATCTCTTCGGCGTGTACTAGAGGCATTAAAGGTCAGATTATACCCCCACATTTCCGCTGTTAACGACGGTTTTGCGCGTTATAACGGCCGTGCGCGTGCCTGGCGCATAACGAATGCTCTAGAGATTTTGCCATGATCTCATAGGAGCGGCCCCACTCCACATTCGTAGAGGTGATTTCATTTAAGTGTACCTGCACTGAATACACCATCCCGTAGGATTTGAAATCATTAAGAGCTTTGCTCAACCCTCCAATATGCAATCTAGCACTTTCTCACACATCATAGGAAGGGACTAGTAATTTTGGTTTAGTGCTAGCAGTACTAACGAGCGACTTGTTCTTACCCATTGAACCTTCTTCATGGGATCACCAATCACAAAGGTTGGGTTGCCATCGCTGTCGTAATCATACTGGCTTTAGTCCCATTCCCCTCGATGTTTCGATAATTTGTTTCCTCCCTAGGGGTTTTGTTAATGGATCTGCTAGGTTCATTTCTGACCTCACAAAATCGATTGAGATCACCTCGTCCTTTAGCAGCTGCCTTAAAATATTGTGTCTCAATCGAATGTGTCTGCTTTTTGCCATTAAATGTTTTATTTTTGGCCGTGGCTATTGATGCCTGGTTATCACAGTGTAATGATATTGATGGCGTTGGCTTGTCTCCCAATGGGATATTTGCTAAGAAGTTTTTCAACCACTCAGCCTCTGTACCAGCCAATTCCATAGCAACTAACTCAGAATCCCTTGAGGATCGAGTTATGATGCTTTGTTTGGCTGACTTCCAAGTGACAGCTCCACCACCAAATGTAAAAACATAACCGCTAGTGGACTTTGTCTCGTCTGAATCTGAGATCCAATTAGCATCACTGTATCCTTCTAATACAGCGGGAAATCCACTATATAGTATACCATAATTCATGGTACCCTTCAGATATCGTAATAATCTCTTCAGAGCTTCCCAATGTTCACTGCCTGGACAGTGAGTATATCTGCTCAATCTGCACACAGCATATGCTATGTCTGGCCTGGTATAATTCATCAAGTGCAACAGACTCCCAATAATCTGTGCATACATAGATTGAGCAATCGGATCTCCTTTATGCTTCTTTAGATGCACACTAGCATCATAAGGGGTACTCAAAGGAGTTTCATCATAATGTTCAAACTTTCTCAGTATTTTCTCAACATAATGTTCCTGAGAAAGTAAGATGCCATTTTCATTTCTTGTGATTTTAACACCTAGGATTATTTTTGCTTCACCCAGATCTTTCATATCAAAATTTGAATTAAGAAACATTTTTGTTTCAAGCACCACATTCATACTGGTTCCAAAAATAAGCATATCATCCACATATAAACAAATAATCACACAATCATTATTCATAACTTTGGTATAAACACATCTTTCTACTTCGACAGTAGAGAAACCACCACTCATTAAAACTTGATCTAACTTCTCATGCCATTGTTTGGGTGCTTGTTTTAAGCCATATAGAGATTTTACTAACTTACATACTTTGTTTTCTTGCCCAGGAACAGCACACCCTTCAGGTTGTACCATATAAATTTCCTCTTCTAAATCACCATTTAGAAATGCTGTTTTGACATCCATTTGATGTATAAATAGCTTATGAATTGATGCTAAGCAATAAGGATTCTAACAGATGATATCCTTGTAACAGGAGAGAATGTATCAAAATAATCAATATTTTCCTTTTGGGTAAAACCCTTAGCTACAAGCCGTGCTTTGTATTTATCTATGGTTCCATCAGGAAAATATTTTTTCCTAAAGACCCATTTGCAACCTATAGGTTTTGCTCCTGAAGGCAAGTCTACCAAAACCCAAGTTTTATTTTTATTTAAGGAGTCTATTTCATCTTTAATTGCTTCTTTCCAAAGCTCTGCATCCGGAGAAGAGATTGCTTCATAAAAGTTTCTAGGTTCATTTTGTACTAAAAATGTGTAAAAATCATCTCCAAAGGATGTTTCCTTTCTCTGTCTCTTACTTCTCCGTAATTCTTCAGTCAAAACTTGATTTGTTTTTTCTTGGAAAGAGGCAGAAGGATTTTCAACACCTTTGGGAATATGCTCAACTTTTAATGGAAAAATGTTTTCGAAAAATTCAGCATCTTTTGTTTCAGTAATTGTGTTTTGATTCAAAACTAAAAAACGATAAGCAGCACTTTGTTGAGCATAACCAATGAACATACAGTCAAGAGTTTTAGAACCAATTTTCCTTTTCTTAAAATCAGGCAATAAAACTTTTGCAAGGCACCCCCACACTTTCAGATATTTAAGATTAGGTACAAAACCTTTCCACAACTCATAAGGTGTTTTGTTAGTTTTCCTATGAGGTATTCTATTTTGTAAAAAGCAAGCAGATAACAGAGCTTCACCCCATAAGTTATCAGGTGCACCAGAACTAACAAGCAAAGCATTCATCATTTCTTTTAAAGTTCTATTTTTCCGTTCTGCAACTCCATTAGATTCAGGTGAGTAAGGAGGTGTTACTTCATGTATTATTCCCTCTTTTTCACAAAAGTCATTTAGTAATAAATATTCTCCTCCTCTATCAGATCTAACTCTTTTAATTTTCCTACTTAGTTGATTTTCTACCTCTGCCTTATATAAGATAAATTTTTCAAAAGCTTCATCTTTATTTCTTAACAGGTACACCTTAGTGTATCTAGAAAAATCATCAATGAAGGTAATATAGTATCTTTTACCACCTCTAGTCTCTGTTTGTTTCAAATCACCTAAATCAGTATGTATTAATGACAATAACTCAGTCTCTCTTTGTGTAGGAAAATGTGATTTTTTAGTCATTTTGGTTTCTGCACAAATCTCGCATTTACCAATATTATTACTTTTAGTTTCAGAAATTAATTTAAGGTGTTGCAACCTTTTGATATATTTCCTATTAATATGCCCTAATCTAGCATGCCATAGATCATAAGAATCAACCAAGTAAACAGAAGAAGATGCATTATCATTCATATCGACACTCAGTACAAAGAGACCTTGATTACAGTAACCCTTCCCCACAAGAACATTGTTCTTTGTCATCACAATTTTGTCAGACTCAAATGACACTTTCACCCCAGCCTTTCCCAAGAGAGCCACAGAAATTAAATTTGCTCTCATATCGGGCACATACAGAACATCATTTAGCACTAGAGACTTCCCAGATGTGAGTTTCAGCACCACTTTTCCCTTTCCCTGAACCTTTGCAGTTCGGGAGTCAGCGAGATAAATGTGATCTTCCCCTTCTTCGAAGGAGGTATACATTTCCCTGTTTGCACATATGTGCTTGGTAGCCCCAGAGTCTACCACCCATTTTCTCACATCAGAGATGAGGAGGGCCTGAGAAAGCATTGCAGCAATTACTTCGTCATTGTCGCTGTCATCTCCTTCAACCAAATTCACATTTGGCTTGGGAGGATTTTCATCCTTTTGAAAACTTCCCTTAGCCCTCTTCCTGCACTGTGCTGCATAATGTCCAGGTTTGCCACAAACAAAACAATTGCCCTTCTTCTTGAATTTGGAGTTAGTGCCTTTGGGTTTGTAATCAGGTTTCTTATTTTTCTGTTTCTTTGAGTTAGGGTCGTACCTCTTGTTGCGTGGTTTTGTTTCCACTAGATTTGCTTTGGCAGCCGTCTCTTTCTCTTTCGCTGCTTGTATTGTCCTTCTGTTGGTATCTTCAATGATGATGTGAGTGATCAAGCCGGTAAGCGACAATTGTTTCTGTTTATGCTTGAGTTGTTGTTTGTAGTTGTTCCATGAGGTTGGTAGCTTTTCAATCAGGACCCCAGCGATGAACTCGTCAGGAAGATTGATCTTTTCAGCCCGAAGTTCCTCCAGTAATTTGTGATATTCATTGATCTGAAGCTTGATGTCTTTGTCATCGGTCATCTCCCACCTATAGAAGTTTCCGACCACAAATTTCTGCTTCCCAGCGTCCTCAGCAGTATATTTGAGAACCAATGATTCCCATATTTGCTTGGCCTCTTTGTAGACGCTGTAGATGTCAAACAAATCATTAGATAGTGTACTGATCAAAGTGTGCCTGCATACTTTGTTGGCCTGGTGCCACATATCCTTCTGTCCTTGATCAGCATCTGCAGCAGGTTCTGATTGAGTTAGCGCATTGACGACTCCATGCATGTCCAGAATTGTGTAGACACGTTCTTGCCACCGCCTAAAGTTGCTTCCATCGAACATTTCTATCTTGGATGTGTCAGGGAATGGCCTAGGAAGCGGTATGGCTGCCGGGACGTTCAGGGGAACGCTGACAGGAACAGCACTGGAGCCAGCAGCGTCGTTGTTTGCAGCCATTGTTCAGGATATCTCTCAAGATTGTTGGCGGCAGCAAATGAGGAACAGCAAATCCGGTTCGAGTCGCGTCACAAGGACACTGTCCTTGAGAGATATTCCGCAGCCCCTCGGTGTAACAGGCAGCGGCACTCCCCAGGATCAAACGAACCCTTCCTGCGAAGCAAGGTAGCAGAACAGCGAAAGCGATTGTAACAGGAAACACAGCGGGAGAGAAGAGGAAGAGGATGGAACAGTGTACCATCACGCTGCCTGGACAGTCCCTTATATAGGCGCGAATGGCCACATCACCGGAGGACGCATCCCTCTGTTTCGCCGAGCGGGTACGACCGAAGCAACGTAAGGTTCCGTTGGAGACGGAACAGCGCGAACGTTGGTGCACACAACGGTCGCCTACACCCCGCGAGACGCGTCCGGTCGGCCACAAAACGAAACAGTAAGCCTCTTGACTTTTAACAGGTCCAAAATAAGGCTTTTCTGGTAAGCATAATTTTATTAAAAATATTCAACAAAGTTTAAAATAATTTTCGTAAAATGAGGCTTTACCGCGTTTAATTCACGCGCAGGGGGGGAAATCGCCGGTTTACAACTGCGTTTCCCTCCTGGTGGCCTGTTGTTGTGTGCGCGAGGCCCACTTCCCTCTTGGCCCATTTACCCCCCCAAGGATGCTTGATCTCATTTATACACTTAGACTTCTTCTCATCTTTCCCATGTGGGACTTTATTTGACACACATATTGCATTATTTCACAACAAGAGACAGACCTACTGGTTTGTATGAAAATTCGATTTGGTCCAGGAGAGCATGCTGAGCTTCTTTATGCACAAAACATGGCGATAGTTTTATATTTTCTTTGGTGATCACCAATAAAACATGGCAAATGGATATTTTTATAACTCTGCACGACATGAGTAGTCTTTCAAAAGTTTTATTCCCCATGTCATGATAGAGGACTCAATGCCAGGCTTCCTTCAACTGGCTGGTGGAACTAATGCTCACACGGTAGATGGGTTGAAGAAAGAAGGCCTTTTCCAAACAACCATTGTTACCAGTAAGTCACATATGCGGCCTCACATTTTCTGCTGCTTCTTTTTGACCATCGCATAACAATTCCTTTTCCCTCATAAATTTTTCGTAGAGAATTCAGATTATGCAACCTCAAGAGCAGGGTCAGCTGATTCATCCCATGCTTTAATCGGTGGTGTAGCTCATGGGGGCTATGCACGTAAGGTTTGTCATTTGCAGTGTACCTAATACTTTATCATCCATTTTATATTTTCAATTGGTTAGACTTACAATTTGTTCACTTTCTGGGTCCATTTGGCTTTTGTCTTTGAAAGTGGTAAGTGCACAAGCTAATTTTTAAAAATAACAAACTCGTTAAACAGTAATTATTTTACCAAGTGATCGAGAGTGTAAAATTGACTAAAATGATGAGACTGTTGTTCTCGAGGACTTACTCGCACATCCATTGATGTTCCATGTTTTAACCAGACTAAATCCCAGATTTTTCCACATTATGACTTATGAACAATGCTGCTCATTACACTAGTATTTTATATTAAGTTGATATTGATATTATGACAATTCAAGGACCAGAACAGTTCATTTACTCATCTTCAAACCCTTCTTCAGCATTAGAGTGGGGAAATTGAATCAAGCCAACTTGGTTGGTGAGACATATGCCTGAGATTGGTGTTTGATACAAACGTTTGTTCAAGTCTGACCTATAGACTGTAATTATAAAATTCAAACTCTCTTTGTGGCCAAACCAATGTTCACCCTTGATGACACGCAGAACAGGCCCAGAATGCCTGGAAAAATAATAATTCTATTCACAATCAATATCTGAAATGTACAAGCAAGCTATACATCCACATGAGGCCCAGATACTTATAGACCGAAAAACATTAAGCAGAGGACTACATATCCTAAATGGGCCTCCGGTCACATGGGCCCAATACTACTATGTTTCTCATCACTCCCCCTCAAGTTGGAGGGCGGAAGATATCCACAGCACCCAACTTGGTCAACACTTTGTTTAATGTTTCAGCATTCACAGACTTAGTGAGAAGGTCAGCTTCTTGTTCAGCAGAGCGAACATGATGCAATTGGATCAACCCTTGATGTAGCTTTTCCCTTACGAAATGGCAGTCAATCTCTATGTGTTTCGTGCGCTCATGAAACACCGGATTGGCTGCAATGTGCATTGCTGCTCTACTATCACAGTGGACATCAACTGGTTCTATTTGATTGATCTCCACATCACTGAGTAGGCCAACCATCCACACAATCTCTGAAACAGCAGACCCTAACGCTCTGTATTCTGCTTCTGCAGAGGACCTAGAAACTGTAGCTTGTTTCTTAGTCTTCCACATGATTAGAGATCCTCCCAACTTCAAGAGATAACCTGTAACTGATCTTCTTGCTGTAGGACAAGCTCCCCAATCCGCATCACAGAAGCATTGGAGTCTGAAATTCCCTTCAGCACTTAGGAGTATCCCACGGCCAGGAGTACCTTTCAAATATCTAATTACTCCAAGTGCTGCAGCCATGTGTGACTTCGTTGGAAGATGCATATACTGGCTTAAGGCCTGCACACAAAAAGAAATATCAGGTCTTGTAGTGGTCAAATATATCAACCGACCTACCAACCGCCTGTAACGTCCTGGATCCTGGAGTAAATCATTTCTGCTATCCTTCCCTTCCTCATATGCTCGTAACCTCAAACTTTGAGCCATTGGAATGGTGAGTGGCTTACATCCACTCAATCCTGCATCAACAAGTAGATCTAACAAATACTTCCTTTGAGATAAGACTATTCCTTTCTTGGACCTAGCAATCTCTAATCCTAAGAAGTACTTCATGACCCCTAAATCTTTAATCCTAAAATTACTGTGCAAATGATCTTTCAAATCCTTTATTCCCTGTTCGGAATTACCAGTGATTAACAAGTCATCAACATACACCAATATCAATACAAGACCATCAACAAATTTCTTAGTAAACATAGAGTAATCATGTCTACTTTGAACATAACCAGCAGCAACCAAAGCAGATGTTAATTTGCTATTCCATTGTCTAGACGCTTGTTTTAAACCATACAATGATTTTCTCAACTTGCATACAATGTTCTCCCCCTTGCTATCAAACCCTTGAGGCAAGGACATATAAACTTCCTCATTTAAATCTCCTTGCAAGAAAGCATTATTGACATCCATATGATATATATTCCAATTCTTTACAGCAGCAATTTTGAAAACAAGTCTCACAGTCACCATTTTAACTACAGGGGAAAAAGTCTCATGATAGTCTATGCCTTCCCTTTGGGTATATCCTTTAGCTACTAACCTAGCTTTGTATTTTTCTATGTTCCCATCTGGTTTGTATTTTATTTTGAATACCCATTTACATCCAATTGCTTTCTTTCCTTTAGGCAACTGAACAATATCCCAAGTTTTATTATTCTCAAGAGCCTCTATCTCACACTTCATAGCTTTTACCCAATTGGGATTTCTAATAGCTTCATTATAAGAATAAGGCTCTGAAACATAATCAATAGTGCAAAGATAACACATATAGTTAGGGGAGATATTACCATAACTGATGTAATTTTCGATAGGGTACTTGCATTTCAACTTCCTGGTATCTGTATCATTCATATCCTTTGCCACTAGGTTACATACATAGTCCTTTGTCCAAACTGGTGCTCTTCTTTGTCGTGCAGGTCTGTCCGTGTGTCCCTCATCGGATCTGAGTTCTTGCTGCACATCTGTGCGACTACTATCCCCAACAGAAACAGCACCCTCTTTGTAAGTTAAATCCTGCATATCTGTGCTTTCAACAGAGTCAAGAAAAGGTGAGTCATCAAAATAGAAAATATCCTTTGGTTTGTGATTCACCCCCCCTTGATCGGTATTCATGCTATCTCTGTAGGGAAACTTGTGTTCCATGAAGGTTACATGTCTAGATGTGAAGAGTCTTTTTCTTTCTATGTCATATAGCAAGTATCCCTTTTGATTATGAGGGTATCCGAGAAAAACGCAGGGAATAGACCTAGGTTTTAGTTTATCCTTAATAGTCAGATCTGAAGCAAAGGCTAATGAACCAAATATTTTCAAATTGGTATAGTCGGCTGCCCTTCCATGTATTATTTCATAGGGTGTCTTGTATCCCAAAACTCTGGATGGTATCCTATTAACCAAATAAGTAGCCATCTTAACACATTCTCCCCAAAATTTTACAGGAATATTCGACTGGATCATTAGACCTCTTGAAATCTGCATTAAGGTCCTATGCTTTCTCTCTACAATTCCATTTTGTTCTGGAGTGTAAGCACAACTAGTTTCATGTATTATCCCCTTTTCCCCAAAATAATTCTTTAGTTCTAGATTTGTGAACTCTGTTCCATTATCACTCCTTATTTTCTTAACATTGACACCAAATTGATTAAACACATAAGCCAGAAAGTTTTTGATGTGAACTACTGTTTCATTTTTGTGTTTCATAAGAAAAATCCAAGTAGCTCTTGAAAGATCATCAACAATGGTAAGAAAATAACAATGACCTTGATGTGTGGGTGTCCTATATGGTCCCCACACATCCATATGTAGTAATTCAAAACAGAATTTCGATTTAATACAACTGGGAGAAAAGGGCAATCTAGTTTGTTTGGACTGAGCACAAACTTCACAATCTTTATTCATAGAGATAATTCTGCCTTGTACAAAATGCAAATGTTTCAGTACTGATAAAGGTGCATGTCCTAGTCTCCTATGAAGCAACCAAACATCAAGTTCATTACAGGATTTGTTTCCTTTACAAACAGCATTCACAACATCATATTTTGCATTACAATTCAACATGTATAACCCATTTATCAATCTACCAGTCCCCTTCTTCCTCCCATCCTGAAGGTCCTGCATAAAACAATGGTTAGGAAGAAAACAGACCATACAATTTAGTTCCCTGGTAATTCTAGGGACTGAAATTAAATTGAATTGTAACTGGGGAGCATATAATATATCCTCTAGGTAGAAAGTATCTGAAAATTTAACATTCCCTATATGTGTTGCTACAACTCTATCTCCATTTGGGATCTTAATCGTTTTAGGTGGTCCTTTGTATTCAGTGAAACTATCTAACAATCTTAAGTCACTTACTAGGTGAGTCGTAGCACCTGAGTCAATTACCCATCTAACAGGCAGATGATAAAAAAAGGAAGATTCAGCCAGACCTGTACCAGTAAGCGCATGAACCGTTGTTTCAGAATCCTTCTTTAGGAGTTCCAGTAGGCGCTCATATTGCTCTGGAGTCAGGGAAGTGGTGACTGAGTTAGCAGATTGTGCAGTTGGGTCACCGTTGCCTCCAGTGTTCACCCCAATCTGATTTGCCATTTCTGCCTTGTTTGGTTTCGACTTGCTTCCTCTGAAATCTGGTGGATAGCCAATTATCTGGAAACAATTTTCCTTCACATGCCCCTTCTTATGGCAATGTGAACATTCCGGTATCGGTCCTCCCCTTCCCCTGCCTCTGCCACGTCCTCTACCTTGTGCAGCCATTGCAATTCCTTCAGTCGGAGCACTCATGGTTGAACCGGTTATCAACTTTTGAGCTTCGTCTTCCGAGATCATAGCATAAGCCTGGTTCACGGTGGGCAGAGGACTCATCATAAGAATCTGGCTCCGTCCTTGGTTGTAGGTGTCGTTGAGCCCCATCAGGAATTGCAACAATTTCTGTTGTTGCATTACCTCCGCATAAACCTTCGAAGTATCACACTTACATGAAGGAATCGGTACCAGGGAGGATTGTTCTTCCCACAGCTCTTTCAGTCTTGTATAATAGCTGGAGACCGAGAGCGTGGCTTGCCTAAGCGAAGAAATTTCTCGATGGATTGCAAAGATACGAGATCCAGAGGCTTTATCGAACCGTTCTTTCAGGTCGAGCCAAACCAATCGTGCCTCTTGAAAGAACACAGCTCCACTCGCCAGCTCCTTCGAAATTGAATTGAGGATCCACGTGAGTACCACGGCATTACAACGTTCCCATTGGTCTTTCATGCCGTCGATCTGATTCTCTTTCAGACATGAACCATCTACAAACCCCAGCTTGTGTTTTCCAAGGAGAGCAATACGCATTGCTCGGCTCCACATATTGTAGTTCTCAGCACCAGTGAGGACCTGCGACACGATTGTTGCTCCCTGTGTATCGGAGGGATGCAAATACAGGGGATGGCTGAAACTGAGAGCCGCGGCAGCCGAGTCACTGATCTCCTTTGATTCCCCCATCACCGGCGACCCAATCTTTTCGGTGTTCGTTGCCGATGAGGGTCAATGACTCTCTTTTCTCAAGATCCGCCCCCCTGAATCTTCTGCCTGCGTCTAGGTCTCTCGATTCATGACTATGTCTCCCTACGGTTTCTTTCCGAAAGTGGGAGAGGACAAGAACGACGTCGTTCTTTCTTCTTTGAGATTCTTGAACTTTCAGGTGCTGGCTCCTGATACCATGATGACACGCAGAACAGGCCCAGAATGCCTGGAAAAATAATAATTCTATTCACAATCAATATCTGAAATGTACAAGCAAGCTATACATCCACATGAGGCCCAGATACTTATAGACCGAAAAACATTAAGCAGAGGACTACATATCCTAAATGGGCCTCCGGTCACATGGGCCCAATACTACTATGTTTCTCATCAACCCTGTTCAGCTGACATAAAATATAGCTACTGATTGTGCAAAAAACTTTGCTCAGATCGTAGGAAGAGCAATGAGAGCCATGCAATCCCAACATGGTGTAGTTGCTCGTATTGAGGATCATCCACACCATCTCTTGCTGGCTCTTAAGGAAACCCTTGCTTTGGTTGGACCTTTTAAATGTCAATAATCAATGAGCATATCACAAAAATACAAAGAGCACTCGCACCCAAATTCTGTGTTCTGCATACAGTTGGCTACAGGTCGTTTCATGGGGCTACTACGTATATTTATGATAGGATTGAAAATATGGCCCAAAACCTGGCCCAGAATTTGTTATGTTGTATCTCGTTAGTACAATTCATAAAAGGGAACATCCAAGTGTCAAATATGCAGTTGGAAATTGTAGTTGCAGGCAACAGTTGATTAGATATTGAAGGATAGAAATAGGAATTTCATATGTTATTTAAGTGGCGATCAACTCTTAAATAATGATTTCTGTGAGAAGTTAGCTCAAACGCATTGGCGATGATGCTTATACAAAATGAAGCAATTAGATCTTTAACTAATTGAGATGTTGTGTTTTCATTTCTTTCCAATTCTCTTTCAGAACTATCTCAAAAATAAAGTCCCAATCCTTGACAACAACTGAAATGGTTTTATTGAAGAAAGAGATAGAAAGAATGAGGACCTGCTTATAAGTAGGTCTCTCAACACTTTACATATAATCTCAAATTTCTTCAGGGTTTTTTGTTCTAACCTATATAAATACACATAAAAGGTGCATATCACGTAATTCAAGTGCATGTTTAATTTGGAATCATGCTAGCATAACTATCAAAATGTGGTTTAGATAGGAGCAATTTTGGGTTAATTTTGTCAAAACATGGTTTTGACTTCACTTAACGCGGTTTTTAGAACCTCTTAAAATAATGTTTTTTTGTTTTACAAGATAAAACTCATCTTACATATTCATCTCATATAATACAAAAGTGTTTTTTAAGCTAATTCAAATGGAGATAACTTTTCTTCAAGGCAAAAAAAAAAAAAATCCAGATCAAACTAGCTGGTTCAACCAAAAACCGGTAAACTGGTCAGTGGTCTAATTTGGTTTGTGCATTGAATTGATCAAGAGTTGAACTAGTCAAACTAGTGTGAATAGGTGAAAACCGGTGTGAATAGATGATGAATCGTTTTGAATGATTATATTGCTATTTGTTTTTTTTTCCCCCTTCTTTCATTGAGCTCCTAATAGTCAATAGACATGAATGAATTTTAATGGTGGGTTTTGTATCAATGATTATTAATTTTAGTTATTGATAAATTGTAAAGAAAAAAAAGTAAAATTCACAATATTATTGTATTTTGTTATTGTTACAATTAAACTATTATTATATTTTCTTGTATTTTGTTATTAATGATTATTAATGTTGTTGTATCTTGTTATTTTTAAATAAATTATATTATTTTAATATGATCTGTTTGATTCCGAATTGATCTTGATCCGACCAATTATTCTTTACACCACTACCTTTGTCAATTCAATGTCCGGTTTTTTGTTCTTTGCTTTTCTTTTCAATGGATTGAGCAGCTTTTATAAAACTTAATGCCAAAGTGTTATACTGCTATAAGTGGTTTTTTTTTTTCTTTTTTGGAAAAAAGGAGTTGATATCGAAATATTCATGCTTAAAACTGAATTTTCATTTCAGTCAAAAAACTGAAGCTGTTATTGCCGGGAGTTGAAACAATAATAAATGCAAATGAACATTTTAATAACGTAACTTCTGTTATGTTTAATGTCAATAATTTTGTGAAAATTAGATTTTGTTTCATACAAATTTACTGTGAAACGATTCTCCTAAAACAAATTGTAATTATAAAAAACAAGTATTGAAATAGGAAATATCATAAAAAAAGGTCTTGAAAATTGAAAAATTGCATACAGGGATTGGTTCACAAAAATTATTATCATTTGCTTATTAATTATTGTCAAAACCTATATCAATATTGTGATTGGCTCTTATTTGTAATTTTTCTATTTTAAGGTCTTTTTTTATGATTTTTTCATTAAAATATGGCTTATTTATTGCTCAAATACTGATGCTTTAAGGGCTCAAGTCAGTAACTTATTTTCTTTCCGTATTAACTTATGTTAGGATTAGACTTGGATGATTTTTTTTTTTTAATCAAGCGGTCTAACTAAAATATAATAAGTCTACAATTTCATTAAAAATGATTCACTTCATTGCAAAAGAAAAGAAAAAAAAAAAAACACACACACACACACTCCTTCACATATTAATTGTACATTAATTAAAAATATCATAATATATTTTGCCAACAGTACATGCAGATTTTTTTAAAAAATCTTATTCACACAAAAATGGCTCATTTCTTGCTTATTTAGTCACTCCTTAAGGGCACATAACTCATTCTATTTCATTATTTTTTTAATGAATATTCCATTTCATTATTAAAGGAGAAGAAATTGGAAGATAAAGACTTGATTTTATTACTTTAAATGTGAAGGGTCAAAAACCCCTCAATTAAAATTATAAAAATACTTGATACAGAGATTGGGACAAACTACACTTTCCGATCCATGACTAATAAACAATACTCCTCCGATTCTTAATATAAGATCCATTTAACTAATATGATTAGATTAAGGAAGCTAGGTAAGTTAGTTAATTATAAGAAATGTGACACATTTTTCCCAAAACACCATAATTATCTTTCTTAATACCTCTTCTCCTTCTTTTAGGGCCTGTTTGGTTTGAGGGGAGGGGAGGGAGGGGTAGGGGGGGAGGGAGGTTTCATCCTCCCCTTGTTTGGTTTGATTAAAGGGGAGGGCATTTAATGATCCCTTGTTTGGTTCAAGGAGGGGAGGGAGGGATAGTAATAATCAATTTACCATTTTACCCTTACATATTAGTTTATGTTTTTTATTGATATATTATATAAATTAATTTACATCTTAATTTAAATTATATAATTTAATAAAAATTCAGTCTTATCATGTTAATATGTGTATTAAAAAATTGGTATAGTAATTTTTATTCTAATTATATAATAATATATTTAAAATAATCAAATTAACAAATTTTATATGCTATAAGAAAAATGAAATTTTATTTTCTTTAGGCTATCTTTTTTTTCCAGCTTTAAAATATATTTAATAAATAATATATTTATAAAAAACAATTAATTTTATAATATTATAATTTTTTATTAAATATTTTTTATTTTTAAATAATTTTTATAATATATTTTTAATTATAATAATGTATATATTTTTTTTTTTTTACTTAGGATAATATATTTTTTATTTGAAATAAATATTATAATAATATATTTTATGGGTAGAAGTGGAATATTAAAAAAGCCATAAGGGCATAATGGTCCAAAATTTTGGCTCCCCTCCAAAAACCCCCAATTTGGAGGGGAGCCAAAATGGGGGGAGGGAGGGACATTTTAGCTCCCCTCCCCTCCAAAATTTTTAACCAAATGAGGGGAGGGGCTCATTTTCCCTCCCTTCCCCTCCCCTCCAACCAAACACACCCTTACTTGATTATGGTTAAGGAAGTATTTATAAAGATAATTTAGAGAAAATTGATAATATGAGAAATGGGTCTTATATTTAAGATTAGAACCAACTTAACAATTGTGTCCTATATTAAGAACCGGAAGAGTAATTTCTTTTCTTTTCTTTTTTTTGTAAAATTTTATGTTATATGCTTTGCCAACAATGAAATTGATTAAATATCAGCATAAGATTTTGCATTCTTTTATTTGTTGCCCATTTAGTCATGCTTTAAGGGCACAAAGATTATACTAACGATAAAATTATTAAAATACAACATTTAAATTAGCAATCCAAGGAGACAATCTATGCTTATAATATCATTATTAGAGACACAAAACCTAAAACTAGGAAAAAGTTGAAGCATGGATGATGCTGTTTTGTAAGTAATCTGGATCGATGAACTTTCTCTACGGGCAATGAATTCAGTTGAATAGCCGTACGAAGACGAGCAAGGTAAATCGATGCTATATTGAAATTTTTTTTTTCTATTGTCAGTTCTATTCGAGGCATTATAAAGACATACTCCCTCTACTCTTTTATATAAAACTTAGTTGGCAATGAATTATTATTTGATCTTAAATATAAAATCTCAATCAACTTTGTTTCTCATATTTATCATTTTTTTCAAATTAATTTACCTAATTTATACTTTTATTATATAGTCTAATATAATACCTAGATATCTTAAGAGATTATGTCACCTTATTATACTTCACTAATTTATTTGACTTTCTTAATTTATCCAATTCAATTAAATAACTACTCTTCTGGTCCTTAATGTAGGACCTAATTTTTGAGCTGATTTTAGTCTTAAATATAAAACATATTTATCATATTTATTAATTTTTTTCTAAATTACTCCTATAGATACTCTCTCAATCATAACCAAGTAGAAGAGGAAGAAGGGATATTAAAGAAGATGATTATACTGTTTTAGGAAAAGCATATCATATTTCTTATAATTAACTAACTTACCTAACTTGTTTAATATAATCAAATTAGTTAAATAGGTCTTATGTTAAAGACTGGAAGAGAATTATATTAAGGAATGGAGAGGTTATTAGTAAGTCTTGGAATCTAATTGAATAATTATTCAATATGTCAAAGATTGTTTTGGATTCTTTTTTTGCCCAAATATTTCAATCATAAGGTTTTTCTCCACTTTCCTGCCCCTCCACCTCTATATGAACTGTTAGACTAAAATTTGAGCATTTCAGATTTAATATTTTATTCAAATTTCAATTTAAATATTGGGATGGGAAGTGAAAAAGAAGTGGAGAGAAAGAGAACTGGAAATAAGCCCATTCCCTCTAGAGAATTTATTCTCGCGAAGTGATATGTTGCTTGAAACAATTAATTAATATTTTAAGGTGAGACACCAAAAAAAAAAATTTAATTAATAGATATTGATCTGTCTCAGCTTATATTAATTTCTTGGTTGTAAAAATAAAGGGCAGACTACCTAGTTGGCGGGCAGGAAGGGGAAAAAAAAAAAAGAAAAAGAAGAAGAAGCATACTTACTAAACTTACCATATACAAAGAGCTGACCCAGAAAAAAAAAAACTTACCACATACAAGGGCTGAAAATCAGTTATAAAGAAGATGGGTACTTGAGAGGAAGTAGATCATATGACATGAAAAGTTAACCTTAAAAATATTTCTAATTTAAGATTTTATTTCATACTATAATTTGAGGTAACTCACATATATAAAAGATAGGTACTTGTGAGGAGGGTAGATCATACGGTATGAAAAAACTATAGAGAAAGACCGAAAAAAAGACTCAATGAAATTATTGAAAGTGTTGATAAAGCTCGATAACATCATGGGATCCGTGCGGCCAATCCAAGTACTACTTGTTTTAATTTCATGGAAAAGTACATGATCTCCCATGCAGAGTGAACTATGTTTTGTGGATTGTTTGTGCTGTAATCTGGAAATTAACTTACCAAAATATGGCATCAGATTTCTGGGTTTCTTCAT